ACATCTGTGGTGACCTGGTCCCACAATCGCAGAGCACACGTTCTTTTTCTTTTTTTAATTTGTGTGTGTGTGTGTGTGCAGCATGTCATCTTTATTTATCATTGTCCTCCTTTTTTTTTTTTTGTACTAAGGATTGAACACTCTCGACCACTGAGCCACATCCCCAGCCCTATTTTGTATTTTATTTAGAGACAGGGTCTCACTGAGTTGCTTAGCACCTCACTTTTGCTGAGGCTGGCTTTGAACTCCTGATCCTCCTGTCTCAGCCTCCTAACTGGGGCACTACAGTTGCACCTGAAGGTGGATTCATTATGTATTCATAAGTGCACACAATGTAGCAATCTTGATTGGTGGGGGGTGCTGGAGCTGTGCCCCACCAGGGCAAGTCCAGACTGGACAGGGAGTGACCTGCTGCCATCCTGCCCAGCTCAGCTGCTTGGCCAACCTTGCCACGTGGCGCGGCCTTCAGGGTGACTTCAGGCTCCACCCGCCTGACCTCCTGCTCTTTTACAAGTGAGTGCCCTACCCCATGGCTCCTGGGGGCCCTGCTAGGCAGGCGGGAGGCCTGGCCCTGCCTCCCTGATGTCCTCCCACCTGCCGGCAGCCTGAGCCAGGTAAGGGAAGCTGACTGCCGGGCCTTCACCCACCGTGCTGCCCAGGGGAACACAGAGCTGCTGGCCAACTTGCCTGACCAGAGGGTGACCCTGAGACACACAGCCCTGGCCTGCCTGGTAGGTGCCCCCAATGCAGACGAAAGGACAGTGGGGCTGGCCTCTGCTTGGTGCTGACCTGCTTTCTCTGCAGGGGACGCCTCACCTGCAGCTCAGTGCCTCAGACCTGGAGCTCCTCGGGGTCCTGGTGTGTGACATGCAGGCATCCAGCATCGTGACCTCAGACCCTCATGTGCTGCAGAACCTGCTGCGCTGTCCCCGGCTGACTGCTGCCCAGAGTGTTGCCCTCAACAACCTGCTGGCCAGTGGGAGGACCCAGCTTGGGTGGGTAGGGGTCACAGGGTCTAGGGTGAGGAGGGGTTGGTGGGGTTGGGGGCTCCCCTGCTTGAGACAAGATAAGAAGCAACTGGATCTTGGGCTCCGGGGGTCATTGATGGCCACATCCCTACTGACCTCTGACTTCTGCCTCACCTCCTCAGCCCTCAGCCTTGCTCCTTCTGCCTCCAGCCCTCAGCCTTGCTCTGGCCCCACAGGCCATGGGGTGCAGGGTGGGAAATGCTGACTGTCTGGCTGGGTGCCCACAGCAGGGCAGGCTCCACCAGCTGTGAATGGGCACCTGCCTGTACTCTGGGTACACCTGAGAACCTCCTGGAAGCTTCTTCCGCCCTGCTCAGGGAGGGGCAGCAGGTTGGGGGTTGGGATGTTGCCCTCGGCCCCAACACAGTGCCCCTTCCCATGCACTAGGCCTCCCAGCTCCTGGAACCTGAAGGGGCTTCAGGCCCTGGGATCCCTGACCACCTACATCAGGCCCCATGTGTGGGCACAGGTACCAGAGGTAGGTGGTGCCAGCGGAGTGGCCATGGGCACAGGGTAAGGTGCTGCCAGATGTCTCCTCCACCAGCCCATGCCTCCCAGCCACTCTGGGGACCTAGTGGGGCCCCAAGACCAAAGGAGTCTCTGGGGTGGGAGGAGGGGCCAGGTGCCCCTATGATGTGTGGATATCATGCCTACCTGCCAGGCTGTGGGCCTGGACTTCTTCCACAGAGTGGTGGCTGCCTGCCGGGCAGGACAGCTCAGCCAGCATGATGCCAGGCACTTCGTGACCAACTTCCTGGAATCCAAGGCTAACTTGGCATCCTGGAGGCCCAAGCGGGGTGCAGGTTGGTGTGGCCACCATGGGCATCCCCCAGTCTAGGCTCCCCTCTGGTCTGGTGTGGGCCAAGTTGTTGGTTAAAGGTGAACCTGGGATGTGGTCAAGGTCTAATGAGGTCAGAGTGGAGATGGGCTGGAGCCAGCAGAGGTGGTCAGCTCTAGCCTTGGCTAATGGATCTGGTCATTAGCCCACCCTGCTGGGAGGCCCTGTACCCATGGCAACATCACAGCGGCCACGCTGCGTGACAACCTGTTCCTGGTGCACTATGACTGCGCCCAGCTCCAGTCGTGCCTGGGAGGCCCCGTGCTCAGGGCCAACCTGGACCCCCTGCTGCAGCACCCCCTGCCTGCTGAGTGCCAGCGCGTCATCAAGGCCAAGCTGGCCCAGGTACAGGGACAGACCCCCGAGGGGCAGGCAGCAGGGCCTGGGCCACTGAGCTCACCGCCTGCCTCAGGTCTACCCACAGGGCATCCCTGAGGACCAGCTGCGGCTCATCACCTCGCTGGTCTACCTCTTCTCACGCACTGAGATAGGCCAGTGGAATATCACATCCAGGGACACGGTTGTGGCCCTACTGGCCTCGGATGTGGCTCTGGAGAACCAGACAGAGGTGAAGGCATTGGAAGTGGCTGGGGAGCCGTCTGGTCCACCCAGCCCCACTGACCCTGTCCCTGTTCCCAGGCAGTCCTGCAGAAGTTCCTGGACCAGAATGGTACGGTCACCAGTGCCCTTCTGGTGGCCATCGGGGGCTCCCGCCTCTGCTGGATGAGCCCCCAGCAGATCCAGACCATCCAGCCCTCAGAATTCCGGTGAGCCTCCCATACAGCCACACAGCTGGCCACCCACCTGGCAAGGGTCACCAGGGGAAACCAAGGCTCAGGAGGGAGACCCATCCAGTCTGGGCTGGGCTACTGGAGATGCATTCATGTCCTAGGGCCACGGTAACAAAGTACCACAAACTAGGTGACTTGAAATAAGTAACGTGTTCTCCAGAACCTCTGGAGGCCAGAGGTCCCAAGTCAGGGTATCAGCAGGACCCTCCCATGGGTGCTTCCAGTCCCCAGCATGGCTGAAGCCTTGGTGCTCCTGCGAACCCTGCCTCTCCTTCACATGGCCTTCTCCCTGTGTCTGTGTCCATATTCCTCTGTTCCCATAGGGACCCCAGATGCTGGATTTAGGGATGACCTAATCCAGTCTGACTTCGTCTTTTAATCTGATTTCTTCTGCAAACACCCTACTTGCAAATAAGGTCACATTCTGAGGTTCTGGGTAGATGCAAGTTTGGGGGAACCTGCTCAACCCAGCACAGAGGGCAGAAGGTCTCCCAGGGGGCTCACAGCCTCACACTCTGCAGGCTGGCTGGGGTCCTGGACATCTCCTCCTGTCCTCAGAGCCAGAAGGACGTGCTCTTTGCCAAGGCTCGCGAGGCCTTCCACAACACCAGGTCCACGGCTGACTACTACCGCTTCATGCGCCCCTACCTGGGTGAGCCCCGCCTGTGGGTGGTGCCCTCCCAGAAGCCCCCCCTGCCCCTTCTCATCACTGCCCCCCCAGGTGGTGCCCCGGTGGAGGAGCTGCAGCACCTGGCCCAGGCCAATGTCTCCATGGACATCGACACCTTCACCAACCTCAACCCACGAGTGCTCCAGGTGGGGGGCTGCGCTGACGGAGGGGAGGCAGGGCAGGGCTGGCTGGCCCAGGTGCCCCAGATCCCAGGTCCACACAGTCCTGAGTGAGAGGACCAGAGGTGTTCTGTGCCCCTCCTCGTGTTGTCCCGGGAAGCACTGCCCCTGTGGGGTCCTCCTCAGCCACAGAGGCAACCCTGGGACCTTTCTGCCTCCCTCCCAGAGCCTGAGTGTCAGCAATGTGACCACCCTGCTGGGGCAGAATGTGGGGGACCTGCAGAAGGCCCGCAGCCACCCCACGGTCAGCTCCTGGCTGCGGAGCCTCAGCAGCTTGGCCCGGGATCAGCTGGGCCTGGACGCTTCCCACCCTGGGCCCAGCCCTTCCTATACAGCCAGCAGGCCCCCCAGCATCACCCACCCCACACTCCACTTGGCCTCCACCTCAGGCCTGCCTGAGAACAACACCTCGGCCCCCATTGCAGGTACAGTGTACACCTTTACTCCCCTCTGGGCCCAGGGCCCTCTGTAGACCCTAGGCTGTCCCTGTGTCCACCCTGCTTGCCCTCACATCTGCCTCTAAGTGTCTTTGGCTTGGCACAGTGTCACCTTCCATTGCCTGCTGACCCATTTGAGGACACAGTGCCTCCTCCTAAACCCACAGATCTGTGGAATGGGTGAGGGGAAGCTCTGTGGTCCCTGAGGAGCTAAGAACAGTTGCAGAGGGTCCTCACTGGCCTTCCCACACTTAGCAGCCCAAAGCAGGGGTTCCCAGGGGGGGCTGCAGGTGGCTTCTGGTTGGAACTAATAGGTCCCCTCCCTATCTGCCCACAGGAAGCCCCCCAGTCCACCTGGGTTTTTTGCCGCTCTCTGTGGCCCTGCCTTCTGGCCTTCTGTGGCTGCTGCTGCGTCGCACATCTCTGAGCCCAGTGGGGACTGCTCATGGAGCACCAGGACCCTGGCCAGTGCAGACAGTGCTGCCCCAGGGTGACCAGGCCCACAGGCACCACATGCAGGAAACAGGGGGCTGCTAGGTGGAGCTGGCCACCTGCCCAGGTTGTGGCTCAGACCCTAGCCCCAGGGGGACAGCTGTGTCCCACCTCTCAGGAGGCCTGCAGGGCCGGCCCCTCATGCCTTGGCTCCCAGGAGCAGAGACCTGGCCAGTTACAAGCCCAGGCGGGCAGGAAGATGAGGCCCAAGTCTCCTGCCTCCTCCAGGACACCTGGGCTGGGCAGGACTTCAAGGTCATTGTTCTCCCTGGTGGATCAGAATAAAATGTAAGGCTATCCTGCCACCTGTGTATTTGCTCAGGTCCCAGAGGGGACACAGGGACCCTATTACCAGGGCCCAGCATGTGTCCACCACCTTGGCGACACCATCAATCACAACAGGAAGGCCTCTCAAACAGCCCCCCAGCCTAGAGGCCCACCCTGGACTCTTCTTTCGTGAGAGTGAGAGAGCTGACCACATGGACCCCAGATTATAGGGTCACAGGAAGCCCAAAAGCCACAACCTCCCACCTGGCCCAGTGACATCACAGGATATGCCTGCAGGGCAGGTGCTACTGTTTATTGAGCTCAAACACCCTCAGGTTTGACAGCAACCACCTGACTGCCACCTGCTGCAGATGAAGAGGTGGCCTCAGTTCAGAGTCAAAGCCAGGAGTACAGCTGGGATGGATGCGAGCAAGAGTCCAGGTCCACGGAGGGGGCACGCCCCAGAGAAGGCCTCTGCACAGAGAGGGGTGACTCAGACCCCCTCTGCCCTCTGCCTTCCCCCCACCCTCCCTGGACTCTGCCCAGGCCACCTGGCCCACCTCGGGAGCGGAGGTCCAGGACAAGGTAGCCATTGGGGATGCCACCCTGGAGCCCCAGCCCTAGCCTGTCCAGGTCCTCCTGCCGCTGCTGTGAGATCCAGTCCTGCACTGGGCTATCCTCTTCCTCAGCCTTCAAGTCCCTGACGTGTGGCCCCAGAAGTTTCTGTACTTCAGACACGGTCAGACCCTACCAGACCATCAGGCATTCATCAGAGTCTTCAGGCCCCAGAAGATGGGGTGCCACTGTACCTACACCACCCACGCCTCCACCCATAGCTGCCTGCTGACCTCAGCCTGTACAGACTTGGCTCTCAGACAGGCTGGCCCTGGCATGTTGATTGCTCAGCCGGAGGTCGCACCCCACTGTCCCGTCCCTACCTACCACCACAGCCTCAACCCGTAGCTTCTTGAATGTGGCCATGTCTATGGTCATATTCTGCAGGATGAGTGTCCTCAGGTCCTCCATGGGAGCCCCACCTGTGCAGGAAGGACCCCCAACTTGAGGCCATATGACATACCCCAGCCCCACCCTCTGCTACAGGCTACAGAAAGTCTACCTTCTTACAAAGACTCCTTCTTCCCGAGGAGTCCTGGTCCCGGCTTTGCCTGGTAGCCACCTAACCCTCTAACCAAAAAGGGCCAGAGCTCCCACCAGAGTCAGAGCTCACCGTCTTAAGTACACATCCTTGAAGGAGTGGGGGACAGGATATGGGAGACTGCCCATTCACGCCTACAGAGGGCATTCAGGGAGGCCCTTGACTGGCCACTGCAAATAGGGGTCTTGCCTGCTGCCCCTTGCTCTGCCCACCTGACAGGGTGCCCTAGCTCACCCAGGAAAGCCCGGATCCTTCCAAGGTACTCAGGCTGGCTTATATTCCTGAAGGTCACGCAGGCCTTGGAGTAGAGGACATGTAGCTGCCTAGGGCCACATGAGTCCAGGTCCTGGGGTCTGATGGCCCTGGGGACAGTGTGGGGCCAGGCAGTGAGTGGGGACCACAGCATGCCCACCCTGCCCTGCAGAGGACTGTGACTCACCACATGACCCTGGAGGGCACAGAGTGCAGCTGCTCAGCACTGAGGAAGCACAGGTAGGAAGGATGGAAGCCAGCCAGGCTACCCATGGTGTCCTGGTCCAACTGGCCACCTCCCAGCACATAGCGGGCAATCAGGGCAGTCACCTGTGGGAGGAGGTTGTTGAGGTGCCTTGGAGCAGGGAGAGAAGGACCCCTACCAGCCAGAAAACTTTAAGCTGTCCTCCCAGGCTGAACAGTACTGTGCTGTGTTCCCCCAGGTCAGAGTCCAGAGTCCCCTGATGCCCCCGTCATCAGGCCACAAAGTCCCATGCCGATGCCCCTCAGGCAGGTGGTCACCTGCTTGTCCATTTTTTGCCCTTTGCTGACATTGAGTAGGGCTTTCACAGTCTCCAGGGAGGTCAGGTTCCACTTGTGGATGTCCTCGGGGCTGACGTAGCGGAAGAAGTAGCCCAGGCGCTGGACCAGGGACTCAGGGTAGCCTTGTGGGTAGGTCTGTGAAGAAGGTGACCATGAAGGCCAGGGCCACTCCCTGGGTGAGGCCAGCAGGCAGTAGCATGTGGCATCAACTACCTGGTCTAGCCTGCACTTGAGGGTGTGGATCTGCTGGTAGGTGAAGGGGATCGCATTCACGAGCTCCATGTGGGTAGACAGCAGGGCACCGTCCACACAGGCCTCCAGTTCCCACTCTTCATAGAAGATGAGGTTTTCATCCACCACCTGGGGCTTCCGGCCAGGGGGGCAGGGCTTCTGCTTCTGGGGGCAGGTCCTCTCTGCAGGGGAAGGCTAGTCAGGGGCCATCGGCAACCCCTCCTTCCTCCCATGTTGTCTGGGAGACTTGGGGCTCAGTTTACCCACAGGAGAAATGGGGCAGCTCCATCCCCTCTGAGTTTATGAGGGAACCAGCTGAGGAGCCAGGAAGGGTCGTGGGCCGAGGGAGGGGGACCAGTGAGACACCAACCCTGGGATCCTGCCTCAGCCTGATGCCCAACGGGCAGGGCAGGGGCTCACCCTGTGTGTCCCGCCGGAGCCTCATGAGGGTGGCAGGAAGCTCTGGCCTCCGCCAGGATGGGCCCCTGGAATGGCGCAGCAGCCAAGCAGCCAGGACATCCTGAGGACAGAGTGGGTGGCTGAGCCTCATAGCCCAGAGGCTTTGCAGCAGGGGGCCGGGGTCTCACCTTGGGGATGTCCTGGATGATGGGCTGGTCCAACACAGCTAGCAGGCCCTGCAGAGCGTCCAGCGTTGAGACTGACCACCTCGACGGGGGCCTGTCCAGATACAGGGGGCCGTCCAGAATTAATAGGGGACAGAAGCAATCCCAGCACTGCCCTGGACAGATATTGTGATGGGGACCCTGCGGGGACGCTGACAGGGTATGATGGACGGCTGGCCCTGGCACCCAGCACAGCTGTGGCTACCCATTGTGCACTCACCAGCCACTTACCCATAGGGGGGTCCTCCGCCTTGCAGAACCACTCTGGCTGCCTCCTGCTGGCCCTGGTCCAGGGGACCTGGGCAGCCTGCCAGCCGGGGGAGGAGGACTGGAGCTGAGTGCACCACGAAGCGCCCAGGCAGGTCACAGGCCAGGGCTCCCAGAGCCCTCACGTCCTCCTTGAGCACCCTGGAGCCGCGCACGCCCTGCACATGCAGGGGCCTCAGTGCCTTGGGGAATGGCCGAGCCCCCCTCACTGCCTGCAGCCCCCACCCTGTCCCAAACCTGGCAGGCTAGGGTTGCGAGCAGCAGCCGCCGCCGCTCCGAGGCTCTCGGTGGGAACACGTTGGCCTTGGTGATGTGGGAGAAGAGGCGTGCACAGGCCTGGGACCCCGGGGTTGGCGCTGGACTGCACAGAGGGTCTGGGTCAGGCACCCTGAGCACTAGGCCTCCTGCAGGCCCCCTGGTGAGCCAAGTCCCTGCACTTTGAGGTCCCCGGGCACAGAGGTGCGGCCAAGCCCAGGAACAGGCCCTACTTGAGGAAGGGCGCCATGTCCAGTGAGGAAAGCATCCAGGTCCTTGGGGATGAGGTGCTGGGAAAGGCAACCTGCCAGGCAGCTCAGCCACCAGGGACAGGGACATCTGGCTCAGAAGGCTCTGGCAGCAGCATCCCAATAGGCCCAGGGGAACATGTGGGGACTGACCTGACCATCTTGAGTGCCACATTCTTCTGCTCCGTGGCCAGGGCCCCTCCTGGGCGTGTTCCACACGCAGGCCAGGAAGCCAGGGAGGAGGCCTGGGGCAAGGCTGGCTGGGCCAGCAGTGTGCACCCCCTCCCACAGTAACCCTCCTCCTGCAGCGTTCCCCTGGGCTCCTCACCCAGGTGACACTCAGAAGGGCAAGGAGTCACTCCCCTGGGAGTCAATGCCCCTCTACCCCTGAGCCTCCAGGCAGGGAGGGGCGCAGAGAGATTCAGGCTCTCCCCAGGGGACGTGGGGGTGGAACAGGGAGTAGACAGAGAGGATGTGGGGATGAAGGCAAGGCTGAGAACAAACTGTGGCTGGCACCTGGCCACCAGTAAGGGCACCAAGCCCTCAAAGGCTGCAGGGTCAAGACCTACCTGGTAGAGTTGCTGGTGTTGACCAAGCCTGGGTCCAGGAGCACAGCCTGGGGGACAAGGCCAGGCTGACGGCTCCCCCAGGCCTGTGCCTCTCTGGCCCCGCTCCACCTTTGCCTGGTACCCACAGCTCCCTCCTCCAGGGCATGGGGGAGAACAGCTGTCACCCACCTCCACCCATGACCCGGAGCCCTGCCCTTCTCCCACCAGCCCCTCACCTGTCCCATCTCTGTAACCTGAGTCCTTAGAGGTTGCAGCCACCCTGTGAGGTAGAGGGCATGAGGTTGGCGGGGAGGGCTGGGGGCTTCTCAGGTAGACCCCAACCTGGGAAGGGAGGAGGTCTCTCCCCTTCCCACCTCTTCTCAGTCCCACCCAGCAGAGCCTACAGGACATGGGGACAAAGTTGAGGCCCCTGCACCACAAGGTGCCATAGCGCAGGCTGCCAGGCAGGGATCTGAGCTGCACAGAGAGCCAGGGCTTCCCACGTCCTTTCCCTGGCAGGACACTTCTTCTCCTGGGCACCAGGTCATGCTCAGCCCCAGCCCCACCAGGACGCAGGCCTCCTGCCCACAATGGGGGAGAAGGCACAGGGCAGTGGGGCTTCCCCAAGGTTCTGACCCATGAAGAGCCCAGGGCTGCCCTCCACCTCTCCCTGGCAACCCACAGCCCACCACTGGACTCACCCAGGCTGAGGAGCAGCAGCAGAAGCCTGCCATGGGTGGCAGGCTCACAAGACCCCAGGGAGTGTTGAGCTGTGGGCAAGGCCATGTCCTATGGACGACAGTGCCTCTGATGTTCCCACCCGATCCCCACCAGGCAAGTGAGGGGCCTTTGGGCCAGGAGAGCTCTGGCTGAGCCTGTTGGGCACAGGCAGGAGCGTCTATGCCACTGGCCCTGCTCTCAGACTGGCCCGCCCCTCAGGAAGCCAGCCCTCCTGCAGGGAGGGGAGCTGGAGCTGAGTCAGCCTGGCCCCCAGCAGAGAGCTGGGCTTTTCCAGGACCCTTGGGTGGGGCCTAGCCACGGAGAGAGTGTGGCCTCACTGTGCTACCTTGATAACAATTGTTCCTTTATGCCCAGTGGATCTGGGGACTGAGCAGACCACAAGCTCCTTGGAGCGGAGTGTGAGGCTGATGTAGCCGTGTGTGATGGGGCAAGGCCAGCCCACCCCACAACAGCCAAGAGCTCCCAGCAGGGCAGTGAGAGGCTGCAGGACATGGTTCTGGCTTTCCTGACCTATATAGTGCAGCCCAGCCCGAGGTCTGGCCCTCATGTGATGGAAAAGGAAGGCAGATCCCCCTCGTTGCTGAGGCCAGGCCTCAATGAGTACTCTGAAGGAGACTGTGGGTAGGGGTGGTCTTCAGCCAGGGCCATCCCGTCCTGCTCCCAGCACAGAGATCACCCCTGAGGACAGCAGGAGAGGGAAGTTCTTACAGCTCTCCTTATGCAGCAGGGTGCAGGAAGGGGGAACCCATGGAGGGCAGGGCAGGCCGGCTGGAGGGGCCAGTGCAGGTGCCCTGCCTGACCTCCTCCTGGCACACCCACTCCCACACATACACATTGGAATGTGCATGACCCAGGCCCTGTCTCCCACCCCACGTGGACCAGGCCCCCACCAGCCCCTTGTGAGCCTGGATACTGAGCTTAGCCCCAGGAATTGTAGCTCCTGGAAAACCCCCACCCGTTGTCTTGAGATTCCCAGGTAAATGGGATACTGTCCCAGAGGGGCCCGCAGCCCCACCCTAGGGGAAGAACAGGGCTGGAGTGGGCCCTCACTGTGCCCCGCTCCTCGGTGCTCCTTTCACTTGCAGACAGGCACCCAAGCTCTTGTCTGACTGGCCTGCTGTGCTGTCTCCACCCCGGGTCTCCTCCAATGCCCATCCCTCGCCCCAGGGAAGACCTGCCTGGGGCAGACCCTGCTCCATAGGCTGAAACACCACCACAGGCTTCTGCAGGCCCCAGGCAGGGAGGACGGCAAGGGAGAGGTGGGAGTGGGCAAAGAGTATGCAGGGAACAGGGTGTGGACCACTCTCTAGGCGTGGGCAATGCTGGACAGTCTGCTTAAGGAAGTTCTGGGAACGTGGGAGCCAGCCTAGGTGGGGTGCCTCCAGTTCCCACCTCTGGCCACCGCTGGGTGTAGTGTCCTAATGCACGTCCCTTACAACCCCAGGCCCTGAGGCTCTGAGTGGTCCCTCCCCAGGGCCGAATGGGCCCTGCCCAAGGTGATGCTGAGGATCCAGGTGAGTGGCAAACCTCAGCCCCTCTGCCTCCCTTTCCCCACCTGGGAAGTGGGGAGTGGAGAAGCTGGACAGTGTCCCAGGCTGTCAAGGGAACAAATGAGGCTTGGCGGCCTGGCGGCTGGGAGAGGCGCTGCTCATGCCATAGGAATGTGCGGGTGGAGACCCTGCCAAGGAGCCAGCCAGACTGCACAGGTCAGACCCTGGCCACCTGGGGAGGAGGACTGCTCCCTTGCTCGGTGGGTGGGGTGGAAGTACCAGGCCCCAGCTCCAAGGAGTCTTGTGTTTCCATTTTTCAGGGGATGGAACTGAGACAGAGAGTGGCCAAAGTCATAGGTCAAGCCAAGGGCTGGACTCCCAGCCAGAGCCTCAGTGGGCCTCTGCAGGCCACACTGCCAGGTCACAGCTCCAGGGACCTGCTGGCTCCTTTCACATGTGCTCCTGACTCAGGCAACATGAAGAGGAGAAACTATGGCAAGGAACAGTAAGCAGGGACTACAGGAGGTGAATCCACCAGGGCCCTGTGCTCCAAAATGGCAGGGCCACTGGAATCAACCTGCCCGGCCACTGGCCTTTCCTTCCTGGCCTTGGACCACAGCCTTAGTGGAGTGACCTTGCGGCCAAAGGCCCTCACCTCCAACCAGCCCCTCGGATGGCTCTGTGATGCTGATTCCCAGTGTGGAATCTGTCCTTGCTTTCCATAGCTGCAGAAGGGACTTTGGGTGGCTCTGAGGTGCAATACCTGCCAGCATGCAACCCCCTGGCTCCCACCCCAGCACCAAGAACAAAAACCAACACAAACCCGGAAAGGCTTCTGTTTGCTGGACTGAGAATGCCCCGCGTCCATCTCTGACCTTTTCCTGAGAGTGGGTGCTGTTCTGTACAGTTGAACCCAGTGCTAATTAGTGCAGAATTCAACAAGGCTGCCAGTTGCTATACCAGTTTACAAAAGTCAACAGAGAAGTGCTCTCTAAAACATCCTTTCCATCTGGAAAGTGCTAGAGGAAGTACATGTGAGATACAGGGAAGTCCACACTTTAATTGATGAACTCAACATATACAAATGGAGGGTCTGGAGCTGTAGCTCAGCAATAGAGCACTTGACTAGCACGTGTGAGGCACTGGGTTCAATCCTCAGCACCACATAAAAATAAATAAATAAAATAAAGGTATTGTGTCCAGCTCCAACTAAAATATATATATATACACACACATACATTTATACACACACACACACACACATGTATATATGTGAATACCAATGGAATACAAACTGCAACTTAGGCCTGCTTGAGAGGAGAATGGATCATTTGGAGGATAACATTTATCTCAAATGAGGCACAAAGTTAGTTTCCTGTCATCATAATCAGTTACAGATACTTAATCAGATTGTTAGTGCGGATGCTCCACCATCTGGGAGGTGCTTTCCTGAGGCCACTGTAAAACAACCCTGCTTCACGGGTAATAAGAAAATCGCTTATTCCAAGCCCACTATGAGTAACTATGACCCAGGAGCACAGATTTAGGTTACCCTGAAGGATATTTTCAACTGGGGAAGGGGTCACATGAACTTATATAGTCACAGGAGGAAAGAAAGTCAAGAATCCACAGGTTTACAGGACACACAGGGGCAGTGTCCAGTTGGCGGATACAGAAGGGACTTTGTGTGGCTCCAAGGTCCCAAAGGTGGGGAGTCCCTGCTGCAGAATTCAGATGTCATTTTCATCTCATCTTCATCCCAGTCTCAGCACCAGCTGGTAGACACTGGAGGTGTCAGGGTTTGGGCATGTTCCCAGAGTTTCAAGGGGAATTCAGAAGGTGTCAGTTTTGGTTGACAGTAAATGGCTGTTAAAAAGGGCTAAGGACAGTCCAAGATAACTTTGGCTCTTGATTTGTGTGTGTGTGTGTGTGTGTGTATTTTGCTGGGGATGGAGCCCAGGGCCTCACACATGCTAGGCAAGCCTCTACCATCTAGCCAAACCCCAGCCTTTTTAAATGTCATTTTGATACAGGGTCTCGCTAAGTGGCCCAGACTGGTCTAACTTGCCATGCTACTGCCTCAGCAACTTAACAAGAAGGAGGAGGAGGAGGAATGAGAGGGGAGGAGAAGGAGAAAGAAGCAAGGCAGAGGAGAAGAGAAGGAAGAGAGCAGGAGAGGGAAGAGAAGAGGAGGAGGGGAAGAGCAGCAGCAGCACCCACTGC